TTTTCTAGTGTTAACTCCTTCACATTACAAACACTTCTCCAAAAGTACAAAACACCAACAAGAAATTATGATGATGATAATGACAACTACAAAAATACATATAAAATTATATAATTATTAGAGCAACAAATAAAAATATCATTTACAGACTACCAAAGGCTTGAGACTTCATTCTGTTACAAAAGCTAAAGCTATGCATTTTTTTACTCTAGGATGTCTAGACTCTGAAGCTGTCCAGGAACAAAAAAAGATCAGTCATCCAGAAATCATTTAAGCACATTGTGCCAGTGGCTGTGAAGTTTTCTGGCTTTCTGTTAAAAGCCTGAAAAAGTAAGAAAATGTAAGGGGGAGTTGAAAATCTAAAGGCTAACCAGGCCTCCCCATTTTCCACCACCGTTGGAAGCAGCGATCTTACTTGTTTATGCTGATATAGGGGAAATACAGTAAATTATGGCAACCTTTAATGGGGAGACAAGGATTTATGTCTGTAGGCATTACAACCCAGCAAAGAAATTAGTCCAGAAATTGAAGTTCCAGATTGTACTGTTTAAATATCTATTTTCCATGAATGAGGTATAATTTATTTTTGAGGCCAGACAGATTGTCATTGAGCTGTTACACACACACACGTTTCTGCAGATGTAAAATATACTGCAGATGTTTTGAAGCTGATATGGCAAGATGCTTAACTTTGCTGTACAGTCTGCAGATAGTTTCATTGAAGTGTATCCAGTGAGCCCAAAGAGTTTGAAAGCACTGCATGACATTACAAGCTAAATAAAACATATCTGTATGTTAGTGCTGGTACACGTTTTGAAGACTGTTAGACCTTGTAAGTTATTGTACCAGTGTATGCTATTGCACATTTAATCATTTTCTGAAATTCTACTGGAAGTTAAGAGTAATATATGTGTGCGCGCGCATGTTGACTATATTATGAATCAGGAAATTTCTGGTTAAAATCCTTTTCCTGTCATTAAAATTGCTACATCATAGATACACTTGCTTCAGAATCTACAGGGACACAACATCTGATATTTAGCAACTCTAGAGAGTCACAGTGTGTTATTGCAGATGCCATTTTGGATGATGATGTATCATTGTTGGTCATCTTTGAAGTTGGTCCGTTTTTCCTTGGGGAGAGGGGAGCAGCATCTCTACAGATCTGAGCTTGTGCATTCATCTCAAAAAGGGTACACCCAAGACCATTTCCAGGGAATTGGGGGATCAGTGGACATTACAAGAGCTGCATAAGAATAGTTTGCATGTAGCTTGCACTCTTGATGATTTCTGCTCAGTGAATAGGCCACGTGTCTTCAGCTTCAATCCTCTTTCTCCTGTGTGTAGGATAGTCGATTATTATCTTACAGTATTATTATCAGGATTTCAAGATTTTGGGTTATATCCAACTGCAGGTTGAATATCCTCAGCTGAAATGTTTGAGACCAGAAGTGTTCTGGTTTTCGAAATAGTTGTATATACATGGTGAGGTTTCTTGGAGGTGGAACCTTAATATAAATATGATATTCATTTATGTTTATACCTTACACATATATCCAGAAAGTAATTTTATTTGCAATATTTAAAGTAATCTTATTCTCTAAACAAAGTTGGTATACACTGAATTATCAGAAAACAAGGTATTATCATCTCAGCCACCCATGTACAGTTTTGGATTTTGGAGCATTTAGGATTTCTGAATAAAGAATGCTCAACCTGTGTATCCATTTGCCACCAGAACAAATACTATTGAGAAAATCGATATCTCATTCCCTTTCTGCCTTTCTAATTGTCTCCTCCCTCCCTCCCTCCCCGCCCCCCGCCCCCCAATATCTTCTCTAGTGGTTTCTGGAGTCTTCTGATGCAGATTCAGAAGTCATTTCCACCCTATTGGATATTGCCCAGTATTATTTAAACTCCCTGTAATGCTGGATAAGTGCTAACAGTCTTATCCTCTTCCACAGTTCTTTTTACAACACAGAAATGTATACAACCCTAGTGAAATCCAGCCCATAAACATTGTCAGTGAATTCATGCATATGTTTTTCTGCTCCTCCATAAACCTTTATGGGTTGGGAATTGATGTCTTCCAAATGTATTTGGCTTCAGCTATCATCAGTCCTGGTCAATTCTGGCAATGTTAAATGGTGATGCAGTACATCAACATGCGAAATCTTCCATTGCCCATACCTCTTTTAACTCGTACAGAATAGGACAGGTAGACACAAAGACATATCTTGGTGTGTGTATGTGTATTCACATTGATATTTGATGACACCATAGATTTCATGAGGTTTCCTTGAAGAGGGTATACTCAGAGATGGTTTGCCATTGCCTTCCTCAGAAATAGAGCCTTCGGCACTTGGTATTTCTTGGTGGTCTCCCAATCAAATACTAAGCAGACCGAATCTACCTTAGCTTCCAAAATCAGATGGGATCTGGTACCATCAGGGCACTAAGTCCTTAACCTCCTTGTAAAAGCAAACATGGATTTAAAATCTTAAACTGGGGAACAGGATACTTCTAGAACCAACTTTCCTTGCACTAACTTATCCTGGCATTGTGGAGATTTGGGCAAAATCCTCTCCCAACATTCAAGCAATTTTGGAGGATCACTAAACCCAGGTGTGCTAAGCAACCATTGTTTTTGCAGTTGGCACACGTGGGTCTCTTGTGAAGAGAACCTTCCCACAAGGGGAAGGTATCCTCATTGTACCAGAATATCTTCTCCTCGTATTGGTGTTGGGCTTAGGACCCAACACATATTCTTTAAATCCATTTTTGTGAGTGAGAAGGATCTTCTAACACCCCTGCACCAACAAAATTTCTTCAGAGGGTTTCTTGTTGCTCTTCCACCTTTGGATGTTGGTCAGAAAGTAAATTAACTGCCTTCTTAGTTGTGAGCCTCTGTTTTTTTTCTCAATGCAATCCTCATGGAAGCTTGCCCTGGGTTTTGGAAGGATGGTTGAACAAGAGGGTCTTTCATACTAAATAACTATAGCAGTACAATTCCACTTTGATTTTCTTGGCTGCATCCTGTGTAGTCCTGGGATTTGTAGTTTGTTGAGACATTGAAACTTTCTTGATGACAAGTTTCAGTGTCCTTCCCTAAACTGCCAATCCAATGATTCCAAAGGATGGATACATGGCAGTTGAAGTGACATCATGGTGCTATACGTGTGCAATGTGAAAATGCCCACGATGAAGATCTTTTCTAATGTACTGACTTCATAGTATGGAATTGCATGAAGTTTTAATTGCCACCAACTATTCTGTCTTTCCTTTGGGATCATTTTTGTTATTTCTACTATGTTTCTACACTGTTATCTATCCTGAGAGCTTGTGAACTGAACAGCTAGGTAGACATCCCCAAAACAAAGTAAAATAAATGAAATAAAGTTGTTCTCTTGGAAGATAATCTTCCCCATTTATTGTTGAATATGGGAATGAGTAAAGAAGAACAAAGATGGGCTGTTTCCAATGTGACTTTAGACACACACATCTGCTGCTTAAGAAGGTCTGCACATGTGGCCATTTCCTGCAAAGACAAACATTTGGCAAAAGACCACAAGCCAGTAAAGTAGAGCAGTGTGCAATTTTAGATATTTAAGAAGGGGCTCTTAAAATGGGTGTCTATTGTTCAAAAGTTCTGTGTATTAAGATGGGGTTTCTGATTTTTTTTTCTCTCCCCCAGGTCTTTTGGTGTGACAACTTTTTATAATTATAGTTGTTGCCATCTAAATGCCATCCTTGTTAAACTTAGCCTTCAGCTGGCTTTGGAGAGTGGGGTAGCTGTTAGTCCCAAATTATTCACTTCTTAAACTGGCAGATAAAATTGCCCATAACCTATTTCCAAGGGTCTGCAAAACTAAATATTTCACAGTGGAAAGCAGAAATTAAAATCATTCAGGCAGAAAGGACACTAAGCGAATCAGTCTGAATACCAGTAATTCATGTTTAATGCTCTATGACGTCTGTTGCTACCTTAGGTGGAGTTTAATGTGGAAAATAATGAATTGCACCACTGTGAGCATGCAGGAGTGTGTAAATTTGGCAGGTGTCTGTCGACAGAATACCAGCAGCTGTGTTTCACAAGACAAGCTTAGCTCAGGCATGTATGGCAGGCTGGGGCTTGTCCATTTTCTTCCCCTGGAAAATGTCAGCAGCTTTCATTGGCAGAGGTTCGGCTAAAGTTACATTGTCCTGGTTTATCGTTTCATCACCACAGCTGCAAAACAGATTTGGCTTATTCAGTTAAGGCAAAGTTCATTTTAACCATTGGTTATGTGCACGATATGCATGTTCTTTGATGCAAAATCTATTAATTTTTTTATTTTTTAAGAAAAACCAATGTTTACCATTTTCTCCCTTTGGTTGCTTTCATGTTATTCTTTATTTCCTGCTCACTTTGCATGAGAAATACTTATTACTCTTATTTAGATTCAACTTCAAATGAGAATACTTGTTAAGCTTATTTATATCCCATCCTTCCATAACACTTGGAATGATGATTAGGGTGATGTATTCTAGGGTAAGTCTAAGTGGTGGCCCTTGTCTCTGACAAGTTTCCAGAAAAGCAAGAAACAACTAATAGGGCTAAATATAATGCTGGTCCCTGATACATTGGGTGCTGGGCAAGAAATGCCCCATATCATACAGCTTGAGAATGCACAAGTGAAATACTATGTAAAAGGGCAACATTAATGGAAAAAAAATTAAATAAGAAAGCAAGAGGTGTAGATTTCATAAAATCATAGAGTTGGAAGAGGACCACACAGGCCAATGGAAAGAGAGATCTTTAGATAGTTTGGGGCCACTCCAGATAGAGCTAACGTAAGACTTGTTGTAACAGAAGCAGAAGCCTAGAATTGCCAAGATTGTTTTGTTGTGGTTCTTGTTTTAAGGGTGTGTGTGCCTCCTGATATCTGGGACATGTGATTTTCAGATCATCTTTAACACAGCTGGCATACTTGACAAGATATGTGTTGTGTTTTGTTTAGGAAAACAGCAGCAGCTGGAAGCAGAACACCATGACATGTATGTTGAAGCTGACCACGATCTTCACCTGTCCACAGGCCGATCTACCCAGCCTCCTGCTGAGAAGGCCGGCGAGAGGAGAACAGCTGAAATGAGAAAACTCTATGGCATGGGAGCCAATAAAATCCAAGCCATGGAGACCACCATGCAACTCAGCTTTGATAGAAACTGTGATAAAAAGCAGCCCAAGTACTGGCCCATTATTCCCCTGAAACTCTGAGCTGTGTGTCTTTCTCTGTCCCTTTTAGGAGACTCAGAGCTGCATATCTGAATGCTCCACCAAGCAGAAGGATTTAGGTGAATGAATGAAGAGTCAGCAAAAAAGCTCTCCATTTATTTTCCTTTCCTCTTTCCAACTCCTCTGAATGGCTTTGCCAATTTCCAGAGTCCATTCCAGCTCAACAGGAAGAGTAGAATTGGTCATTTGTACTGCAGGGGATAAGGAAAATTCTCTTTTTAAAGTATATCTCAACTAATTTAATTTTGGCATGCCTTGCCCTTGCAGGAAATGAAGTAGCATTTGTTTTCATTTTGTTATGCTAGAGGAAAAAAAGGTTAAAAACTACTTAAACCTGAAAACTCATTCACGTTAAAAGTGATATTGTAGCTTTTGTGCATTACAGTAGTTTTGTCATAAGTTTTAAATGTATATACATTTTTGCCACAGTTTATTGATACACGGAAGGCAGCTGACGTAGTTGGCTAGAGCATTATATATTCAGTTGCTGTAATATAGCTACTTGAGTTCCTCCTCAGACATTCTAGTAGTATAGGAAATCTTCCCTCCAGACTGAAATCTAGCCTGTAAGGTTTCAACTTAAAAGCAAAAAATGAATAAATACCTTACTTTCTTTTTTTAACGATTTGTCTGCTTCTATAATGTGACCATGTAATATATATTTTTGAAATCAATATGAATTTTAAACTTATTGTGAAATTTCACTTTGCTGATCACTAAGTCAAACCATCTGCAGACCAAAGTATCTTTCACATGATTTGGCATTGCAAATAGACAGCTTTCCTCCTTGTGCAAATAGCAGGCATGCCGGGGGGGGGGGGGGGGGGGGGGAGTATTTAATCAGGAATGGGGAGAATCAGAGCGTTAAGTTCTGCCCCAAACTCAGAGCATTCCTTCCCATCCTTCTCAAACATGCACATAAATACATGCACACTCGCTGTTTGAACCAAAAACAGCTATGTCGAACCACTGAACTGTTGGGTGAGTGGGCTTACTAACAAAAGACCCTCCTCATAAATGCACAACTGTGACCCAGCATCAGTAACTCAAAATGATAAAAAGAACAAAAACACACAAACCATTTATCTCTTCCATAGGAGGCTTTTCTTTGTAGCAAAAATAATATGGTTGCACTATGTACAATAACGAGGTTTCCATAACACAAATAAACAAATACATAGTAACCTTACACACAGCAGCCTTCACACTGGAGCTTTCTCACACGAGGCTTCTCTCACACAGAGATTTACCTCACACTCCTCAGGACAACATTAGCTTTGGGCCACTAACTCTAACATGCTTCAGCCTACTCACTCCCCTCAGGATGACACTAGTTTGGCCCACTGACTCTAAGAGGCTTCAGTCTACTAATTCTTTTAGTGCTTGATTCACACTTTTGTAATCAAAAATGCCCAGTTAATTTTTAATAATTCTGACCTGAACTGCATAATAAATTCAACTTGTTTAGATCTGAAATGTCTTGACTTCTGAAGTATGTATGTGGAAGGGTAGGTGGATGGATGGATAAGACTGGTGTCACTCCTCAAGATTGGGAGAGAATCTCTCTGAGTCTGAGTAACTGTATGTGGTTTAGACACACTCACTGTTTCCTGGATCATATATGGAAGCCTGAAATTCATGAAGGATATTCTGTAGCAGATTCTTTCCCCAAACCTATTAACTCAAGACCCCGCAGATATGTCTTCCAAAAGCAGTTACTGGTGTGTGGTTAACTGTAATAGACATATTAATGTCTGCTTCGATCGCATTAGCCAGCATGTGGGATATGATTCAAGCTTTTGTCTGTATCCATTTCTTTATGAATGGGTGTAATACTTTGCTACTAATTAGCTGGGATTTTAGTAAATTTTATTAGAATGCTCCTGTGTCCCTTCTGTTGAATAAGGAGTACAGTGTTTCATCACATGCACAGAAATGATACGTTTCGGTTTTTGTAGGAACCTCTGGGAGATGTTTACTAACACCCCCACCCCAATATCTGCTGTCAAAGGCATCTGCCTAATGGTAAACTGGCTCTCTTCTGGGTTAAGTAGTTGATTCCAGAGAAAAACACATGGTTATATCTTCCCTAGTATAATGCTTCATAGGCACTGCATAATATTAAGCAGAGCGGCTCCATTTTATTGCATAACTACCCATCTTCAGTTAACTGGAACATTTGCATGGGCGCAGAAGGCATGATTTAATCAGAAATGCTAACATCCCACATATGTGATTTTGCAGTAATGAAAAACAGATTTGCAAGCCAATATGAAATCACTAATGCAACACAGCTTTGACTTGTAAAATTAGCTGAGATCACACTACCCTGCTTTAAATGTGACATTTATATCAAGAGGGCTTGAAGATGCATTCTCCTGGGAATCAATTAGTGTCAAATAAGGTTTCTGTAGCTTAATTTTTCTTACTATTTTTAATGGGATAGCTAAAGATTACAGAATTCAAGGAAATGATAAAACAACAGCAGAGGTTTAAATGTTCATTTATAGTAGGGCATCCTGCTGGGAAAAATACCGATGCAAACCCAGAAGAGTTTTGTTTACCCCAACTACAGTAAATATTCAGGAGCCGGTTGTTTGCTCATTTCTTAAATCTTAACTTAGTCTTCTCATTCGTTTCTTTATTTTTAATCCCATCTCTTGATTGCATGTGCCTATTTGTTCCAAGGCTGAGGAAAGTGATAGCCAATGCCTGAATTTAAAATTTCAACCTCTCAGTATCATTGTTCTGACTCCTAGTCTGGAGGGGGGGAAAGACTGATACTACTGATTTTTGGAGATGTATTGAAGATGGCCACCTGTCAGGTGCACATGATTAATATATTCCTGGACAGTCCTTGTCATCTTTTTTTTACTCTGGTTTTGTGTGTGTGTGTGTGTCAGGAGCGACTTGAGAAATTGCAAGTCACTTCTGGTGTGAGAGAATTGGCTGTCTGCATCCTGTGGGAGGCTTCTCTCATGTCCCCACATGAGAAGCTGGAGCTGCTCACCCTGCTCCCTGGATTTGAACTGTCGACCTCTCGGTCAGCAGTCCTGCCGGCACAAGGGTTTAAGCCATTACGCCACCGGGGCCTCTGATGCATAATGGAAAAAGAGGAAAGAAAAGAACTAATAGTAATCCAACATTCCTACTTTCTTAATAATGGTAATCATTGATATATAGATGTCCCTCTACATTTGCAAATCTCTAGATCCTCCACTTTGACTCTATGATTACCTTCCTCCAGCCATGCTAGAGGACTTGGAGATGTGTAGAAAGAGCATCTATGTAGAATCTGTAGATCCTCTATTATAATTTTATGATCAGTTGTCATCAGAAATTGATCACAGAATAACACTGGAAGACCTAGACATTATCTCAGGTTAAAAAAAGCAATTTATTTGCAGTTTTTGTGTCCATAAATGTAGAGGGCTATCTATATAGTCTTACTCTCCTTTCATGACCATATCTCCTACTTCTACCCCCTTATTTGTTCCTAATGATTTACAAAATCTTCAATTACTGTATATACTCAAGTATAAGCTTACTTTTTCAGCCCCTTTTTAGGCTGAAAAAGTCCCCCTTGGCTCATACTCGAGTCAAGGTTATTTATTATTTTACTCTGGGCAGTTTTAAATTGCAGTTTTATGTAAATATTCAAAAATATTTAACCAATTGATGCCTCAATTAAAGTAATTTCATTGGTTTTTATTTTTATTTTGAAATATACCAGTAGCTGCTACATTTCCCACCCTCGACTTATACTTGAGTCAATACATTTTCCCAGGTTTTGTAGTAAAACTACGTGCCTTGGCTTGTATTCGGTTCGGCTTATACTCAAGTATATACGGTAATTTTTCTTCTACAAACATTAGAATATGCTATATTCTTCCTCGTTTAAAACAAAGTATCTCTCTACCTTAACAAAATTAACATTTTGAAGATCCACTCTTTTTATTTAACCTCATCAGTTTACAATTAATATTTTATCCTTCTCCTCCCACAAATAATATGATGACTTGGATGCTCTCAAAAGTATTTAAAGTGTGACAAAAGGTATCTTTGTGTGCTCCTCCAAACGTTGTTGTCATGCAACTGCTATGATTCCTCACCATTGATTGTGCTAGCTAGGCTTTGTTGCAAATTTCAGCTCCGCAATGTGCAGTCCGTTCTTGAATAAATGAGTATAAGCATCTGCAAAAACAAGGATAATGGTAAGTTCCATGAAGTTAAATGGAGCTAATTCCTAAATAAATAGATGTGGTCAGGTTTTGGCTGTAGGGTGTAAGCAGGAACGTGATCCCTTTTTGCAGTTCTCACATTTGTACTGCATCCCAGAACATGAAATGGTTTGGCCATCTCCACCTCAAGGCACGATATTCTAACCACAAATTCCAAGGTATTTAACACAGAGACAGGTCTGCCTAGTCTTCAAAAGAAATGAAAGCAAGAGAAATGTTAATATATTTCAGTAGAAATTGCATTGTAGCATTGGCCAGCACAGGAAGGAAAATCTTTTCCTTCTACTCATTGGAAGGAACGCTGTCGACTAAGCAAAAACAGACAAGCTGGTCATATTTGTATGTAGAAAAAGAACCAAAATAAACAAGAGCTTGCAGCTGCCTTTTCCTTTAGAAAACCAGTTCAACTGAGGGTACTGCAACAGAATAATGGCAAACTCTGCTGGCAATATCCAGCAGTGTGGGTTTAAAGTAGGTTATGGATCTAGCTGTCTTTCACACTGCACAATTGTCTTACTTTGCTGGCACTTCAGATGCCATGGCTATAGAATTTCAGGTTTTGTAATGGGATATTTAGCAGGAAAACGGAACGTTGGTGGACAGCAAAAGAGATTTAAAGATGGGCTCAAAGCCAACCTTAAAAACATTGGCATAGACACTGAGAACTGGGAAGCCCTGGCCCTTGAGCGCTCCAGCTGGAGGTCAGCTGTGACCAGCAGTGCTGCAGAATTCGAGGAGGCACGAGTGGAGGGTGAAAGAGAGGAAGGTGCGTCAAGCCAACCCCGACCGGGACTACCTTCCACCTGGAAACCAATGCCCACACTGCGGAAGAAGATGCAGAGCAAGAATAGGGCTCCACAGCCACATACGGACCCACAAGGAAACCCATAATGGAAGACCATCTTACTCGTCCAACGAGGGATCACCTAAGTTGAAGTTGAATTTAGCAAGAAAGCTTTAGTAGTTCCCTAAACTACAAAGTCCAATATACCATAGGAGGATGTCATGGCAGTTAAGATGGTATCAAAATGCTTTAATTGTGTAGTGTGGTATAGATCCTATTTACATAATTCCAGTCTGCTCACCATTGCTGGTGTACTCTTTATTTATCAGGTACTTGGATGTTGTGCTGTGCTTTTGACTAGGCAATTCCCTGGATAGCTGGCCCCAACTAGAACCCAAAAATCTTGTCTTCGCACTTTAGTATTGTTGTATCCAAAGCTATAACGATTAATTGCTCTTATCCGTATTGCTGCTATATGATATGTACACTTTACTCATTAGCTCTTTCCCCTGTTGTTTTTGCACCACCCATGACGAAATATTGCATGTGGGTTCTGATGTTTGTTTTATATATTGCTTAATGTTGTTTTTATTTTGC